GTGCAAAAAGCAATGCAACAGGAAGAATGAGCTTTCCTATTCATCAGCCACACTGGATTATTATCGACATTTCCACTGTGACCCTATCTGGTCCACACCTGTTCCATGTTTGTGAAGTAGAGCTAATAATATCTGTCCTCTGGCTTTTTCTAAACTTTAATCTTGTTGGTTTTCTCTCAAAAACCTTCAATGGTTCCTTGGTCTGTACCAAATTATATTTTCTCATCCTGGCTTTCACATCTCTCCACAGTTTGAAGACAATATTTATAATGAATATTTGTACAGTATTTTATAGTTTCCAGATTTATTTCAGGAATGTAAGTATGATTTAGTATTAGAAAAGTTGTTATTCACCACATTAAACCATTAAAGAAAAACAACTACACATTATCTCATTAAATATATGAAACTATTTGATAAAATTCAGTATAACTTTATGAATAAAGAGCTCTGAATAAAAATAGAAGGGATTTTTTTAACTTGATAAACCTAATCTATAACAAAAATTCTACAACAAACATATACAATGAAGAAACATCGGAGACATTTGTAAGGTTAGGAATATGGTAAGAATATTCACTATCACCCTTTCAGTTTGATATTTGTTTGATTAGATAACCATCTTAGCCACTAAAAAATTTCTTTCAAAAAATAGAGGAAAAGAGAAAAATCTCTGGCTTTTCAGCTGGAATATATCTCAGTGATACAGTGCTTACTTTGGCATTATATGCAGGTAATTTGATGTCTACATAGAACACCTGATTGACTCTATGGGCAAATAAAAATAATAGGATCATTTGGTAAAGTGGCTGATTACAGGATCAACTTCCAGAAATTAATTGCATTTTATAAACTATACCAATCATAAAATATACTTTAAAAGATTCAGTTTCGATTATAAAATAACAAAACTGTAGCATACTTAAAACAAATCTAATCAAATAATTGTAATGTGGTTATATGGAAAAATAGAAAAATTTGAATGACATTAAAGAGGCCCTAAATGAATGGAGAGAGAGCCCATGTTCATGAATAGGAAGGCATGATATCAGAAAGATGTTGGTTCTATCCAAATTGATCTATAAGTTCAATGTAGTTTCTATCAAAATCCTATCAGGTTTTTTTGTGTCACCTGACAAGCTGATAACTGAAATTTACATGAAAGAGTGAAGAAAATGAAATCATCAAGATACTTCTCAGGAATATTAATGGACTGGGAAATTGTGTGATCAGATGTCAGACCTTATTTTTTTAATTTTTTATTCTTAAGTTCTTTTATTGGTACATTTTAGGTATACAATATGTTTACATTTATCATTGGGTGTTTGTACCTGTACATGATGTATCTTGATTCTTATTTTTTCCCCATTACCTGTGCGCCCTTCAGCCACTCCACCCTTCCCAATTTACATAGACTTTGTTTCCATTTTTTTTCTTTTCTCATAATTTTTCTTTTCCCTGTTTTCCTTTCCCCTGCCCCTCCCTTCACCCCTGCCTCTTTGGACCTTTTTTCCTATTTCAAATTATCAGTTATTCATTTTAATCATTTTAACCCTTATTTATACTTTCAGTTTCTCACACTAGAGAAACTATTCAGTATTTACACATGTGTGTCCTATTTATTTCACTTAAGAGTATGGCCTCGATATGCATCCATTTAGCTATGACTCTAGTTTCTCATTCTTTATGTCTGAGTAGTACTCTATTTTATAAAAAAACCCACATCTTCTTTATCCAATTTCCAGTTGATGGGCACTTGGGCTGCTTCCAAGCTTTAGCTGTTATAAACTGTGCTGCTATAAACATGGGTGGACATATATCGCTGTGGTATGATTCTTTTAATTCTTTTGGGAAGATACCCAGCAGGGGAATAGCTGGGTCAAATGGGACCTCTAGCCCTAGTTCTTTGAGGTATCTCCATACTGATTTCCACAGTGGTTGCACCAGTCTGCACTCCCACCAGCAATAGAGAAGGGTTCCTTCTCCCCATACCCCCACCAGCATTTGTAATTGGTTGATTTCTTGATAGCAGCCATTCTTTCTGGGGTGAGGTGGAATCTCAGTGTTGTTTTCATCTGCATCTCTCGAATGACCAGTGATGTTGAACATTTTTTCGTATATTTATTTGCTGCTTTTACTTCTTTGTCTGAGAAATGTCTGTTCATTTCAGATTCCCATTTTTGAATTGGGTCTTTGAATTTGGGGGGGGTCTGATTTTTTTCAGTTTTGTATATATTCTAGATAGTAGTCCTTTTCTGAGGTACAGCTGCTAAATTTTTTTTCCCACATTGTAGGTTATCTGTTAGCTCTGTTGGTGGTTTCTCTTGCAGTGCAGAAGCTTTTTAATAAGATGAGATTCCAGTTGTTGATTCTTTGTGCCACTGAGGTTTTTTCCCATGCTGCTGAGGTTTTGTTCATAAAGTCTTTTCCTATGCCAATGTCTTCAAGAGTTCTACCTAACTTATCTTCCAGCAAGTTTAGTGTTTCTGTTTTATTTTGTTTATTTATTTTTTAGTACTGGGGATTGAACTTGGGTCCTTGTGCTTGTGCAGCAGGCAGTGAAACCACTGAGCTAAATCCCCGGCCCTAGTGTTTCTGTTTTAATATTTAGATCTTTAATTCACTTCGATCTTAGTTTAGTGCATGGTGATAGGTATGGGTCTAGTTTTAATCTTCAGGAGAATGAAATCCAGTTTTTCCAACACTATTTATTAAATAGGCTATCTTTCCTTCAATGAGGGTAGTTGGCTCCTTTGCAAAGATGAAGTGGCTGAGTATGTCTGGAGTTGCTTCTGCATCTTCTAATCTATTCCACTGATCCTCAGGTCTGTTCTTTTGCCAGTACCATGCTGTTTTTATCACAGTAGCTTTGTTGTATAGTTTCAAGCTGGGGACTGTGATACTCCCTGCCATGGTCAGATCTTATTTTGAAGCCACAGAAATAATGTAGTGCTCATGTAGAGATGGACAAACCAGTGGAAAAGGTCAAAGTGTCCAAAAATAGATCCCTGTATGTTTGGAACTTTAATTTATGACCTAAGGTGGCAGGACAGATGAGTGGGGAAAAATAAGAAGTATCAATAAATTAAACTTATGAGAAAAATTATATCTCTCTTTCACCTCATGACATAGAAATTATTATCAGGTAAAATGAGTTTAAATATCAAAAGCAAAAATATTAAACTTTCAGTAGAAAATAAAAATTATCTTTCTGGTTTTGAAGTAGAAAGTAGAGATTATTAGCTTTCTGGTTTTGGAATAAGGAAGAGCAATAACTAGTGGAATTTATTACATGACGTTTTCATCTTTGCTGGGTACTTCTGCTCTCTCATCACATTTTATGGCTTGAGATTTTCTTTTTAAACAAGGAACTCCAATCATCTCCCTTTGTATATCTCTTGATATTTATCTTCTCCACTCAGTTACTTTCTTTGAATCCAAACAGTCCTAATGTTCAGATGTCCATGACTTAATTTGCATTACATTTGAAAGTAGGCAAGAAAGCCAAAACAGGAGTCTGTTAGAGTGATACAAGCTATGGTCTGCCATGATGTTTATATTTGAATGTTAGAATAGATATGAATTTCAGTAAGAGATCTATAGAGACTCTTGGGCCTCTGAAACATTCTGTCAGCCATAGCAGGCCCTTTCTCTACCTACTTTGTAGGGGTAGGTGGTAAGCATGGACAGAGGCCCATTAGGCAAAGTCAGAAGAGACAACTTTCAGTGTCCCCGAGTTGGAGTAAACAGTGGGTCCCCAAATCTACAAAAGTGGAGGAGGTTCTATTCCTACTAGCAAAACAAAGTTTAGCTTTGTCCAAATGGTGGTAACTCCATGGTTCCAAACTTTAGCTTGGAGCTAAGAAATGGTTTCACCAGTGTGGGAAGAATATCCTTTCCTTGCTTATTCTTTCATTTCCTCTTTTCTATCTCTACACCCCCAGAAGGCATGTTCAGGAGTAGTTGGGCACTGTCTGGCATCCCACACAAATACGAGTGTTTTTTCTCTTGATTTCATTAGAGAGGGTGTTGAGACTATGGACGACTCTTGCTTGTTATCACCTGCTGACTTAGTCCACACAGACAACCTTTCTTCCCACAACAATTACAATCCTTTGTCTTTCATTGGGATTGTGATTTTTTAGAAACTTTCATTCTTGTTCCACTGTTCTGCATACCATAGACAATATGATCTTTCTAAAGCATGAATTTGTTCATCTGCTTCCTGTCCTGCTTCTCTGTTTCAGAGTCTTTGATTTCTTCTCATTGTTTCAGAAAAAGATCCAGACTCCCCCAGGACAGTCTCCTCCTGAGCTCTCTTATAGTTTGAACTGTCAGTACTTTGAACACACTTTGCTTTTTGTCCTCTTTTTTTCTTGGCACATACTGTTTCCTCTGCCTTTCCATCTTTCGTTTTCCATCTGGCTATTTTCTACCCTTCCTAGGAAGTTTTCCTTCAACCTGGTGTCACTGTGATAGTTTCCTATTCTCTGTTCTTCTGTAGATCAAAATACTTAAGACATGATGTTTGAATGTTTACTTGACTTTCTCCTCTGCTAAACTCTAAGCTTTGTGAGGGCGGAGACTGTGCTTTGTTTATTGTTATTTCCTTTAAATTTAGATACAGTGGCTGGCACATAGTATCCTCCATTAAATGTCAACTGAACAGACATCCTTGTGTAGTGTGTAATAGGGTACATAGTCTCCCTCAGTTTTGGTGGTGGTGGTAGAGATGCAGCATAAGGACCTCCTACAAGGTCACATAGTACTTGATGGCCAAGCTGAGTTACAGCCTAGCTTCTGTTAGAAGAATGCACTTTGCATTGGAAGATCCTGCAGCAATACCTGCATGGGGTACTTCCTTGCCTGGTAGGTCAGGAAATCGGGCTAACAGAGATGCCCCTGGCGGGTGGGTCTGCAGAGGGACCTGTGACAGCTACATGACTGGGTATACCAATGTGTGATCTTTCTTTCCTCTCCCTTTTCCTTCCTGTTCACAGTATCAAGCCAAGCTCCCAGCCTCTGATACAGGCTGGAGATGACGAGAAGAACCAGAGGACAATCACCGTCAACCCTGCCCACATGGGAAAGGCCTTCAAGGTCATGAATGAACTGCGAAGGTACATTTCCTGTCTTTCCTGTGCCTTGTTGGAAGGAACTTGCAGAACGAGCCTCACTGGGGACAGAGAACAGAAGGCAGAGCACCACCACCTAGTAAATTCTGACTCTTCCCCACCCACTCAGTCGCCTGTCTTTCCCTTTCAAATTCTGAGGCAAAATAGCTTTGCTGGAAATCTCTCTTTCCTTTGTATTTATTTAACACCTATCATTTTAGTGATTAATCACAGGGGAAAATTCCTTTGTGGTTACAGCCAGTCTGTTCATAAACTTGATTTCCAACTAAACCAGAAGCTTGAAAACTAGAAAAAATAGAAAAAAAAATGGAATGATTGCAGGACCTATACACAATTGCAGATGAAAGATGGTGGATGTCATAGATTATCTTTTGGCCTCCCTCTCTTATCCTTTGGGCTAAGTTTAGCTTGGCAAAATAGCTACTTGAATAGAAGAATACCTAGCTTCTTAAATGCAGTTTACCTCTGTAAAGAAAGAAATAAAATGCGCATGTACTCCTCTAGTCCTAACTGAATGGTGAGGGTATGCAGGTTATTTGTAAGACCAGTGTGGACATGTGATAAGCTTGTTGCAAGACAGGTTCGGGGCACGAACATGTTTTTCTGTGTAAAGCTTGTGCTCATAATCTCTTCCTTACCAGAAAGCACAGAAACTTCCCTTGCCCACACTATTACGTATTTACTATATTCTTCATCCTGTTGTGAAGGCTACTTGTTTACCTCCTTTTTCCTCTGTAGCTCACGAACTCCCTCTGAGAAGGGATAATGTCTGAATGATTTTGATCTCTAGCACCTGGCACTTCATAAGTGCTTTGACTCATTCACCAGTGAGATCTACAAGCACTAGCTAGGCCTTGGGAGGAGTGGGTGGGATGCACAAAGTCAGAAATGTAAGTAGATCAATAATTTTTCTATATAGCAAAATAAAAAATAGGTAATAGGAAACAGAGAGATAGATCTTTTAAGGGAACTGAGAGATGGAGGGAGACGGGAGGCAGGGAAGGGGAAGGAGACAAAAAAAAAAGAACTAAGATGTATTATGTATATCTACCAGCTCCTGGCAATGATTGTAATCATTATGTACTGCAAACATGTACTAAAAATAAAAGTTAAAAATAGAAAATAATCTTTCTATAGTGCAAATAGGTGTTTGAAGGAGAAATGTATCAGGTGTCTGACAGGTAGTGAGAATGAATGATAGCTTGTTTCTGTGCAAGTATGTTGGATAAACTTTGGAGAATACTTCTTAAAGAGGGTGATGCTTGAACTGAATTTTTAAGGACAAGTAAAAGTTAAAGACCTGATGGATTGTGGGGGTAGGGAGAAGCCTTTAAGGCATAGAACATGGCCCAAGAAGTGTTTTTTGACTGAGAGATTGAACTACTTTTAAATAAAGGTTCCATCTGATTCTCTGCTTCTGCATTTCTCCTTTGTGCATGGCCCAGTCTTTGGCACTAAAAATAAAGGTAAATTAAATTTTCCTAATACTCTGCTGCTCAATTTTTATTAGGCTTTCACCCAGATTTCCTTGAAGCTCTGTCCATAACTATCTTAGTCATCAGCCAGGGCTGATGTTTGTGCCTATGGGCATGGTTCCCGTGCCTCAAAATAATTTGTGTTGTGTTCCCTAGACGCTATTGGAGTTCCCTGTTTAGATTCTTTGAGTATGACTTGTGTCCTTTGTCTGATTTCAAAATCTAGTTCTCTCACTGGGTCTTATTTTGCATGGTGCAGCCAATTCCAATGAGCATTGAAAGGCAGAGCTTAGGGAATAGACATGTATACAGAATACTCCCTATCCCCACTTTCTCTTATTAGTGTCTTTTCATTTTCTTAAATGTCTTTTTAAAAATGTATCCTAAGTCCTCATTGCTTCTGCTACAAGTTACTAGGCTTTTGTGTCTTCCTCCCAAAGCACTGGCTTGGATTTAACCTACTCTAATAGTCCTGCTGCTTCAAATGTGTTTGAAAAATGCTATATACTGCACCCTCTCTGATATCCATAGTGTATATAGAATGTTAAACATTCTGAGAAGTACTGCAGTAAACTTAAGTATTTCTCCACACATATTTCATTACAGAACCCTCTTTAGTTGTTAGGTGTAGACTGAATGTTTTGTGCAACTTGCTTTAGAAAACACTGGTCTAAATACCAGACAAAGCCCTTTGCTTAAATTTAAGTGAGTAATCTCTTCTTTCTTTTTGTTTTGTTAAATAGACCATAATGTATGTATATATTTGGGAAATTTTTAGTTCAAATTTCGATATGGAGTTCTCTTTCAATTTTATTTTTTTTTGTAAAATGAATATATTTACTGAAGAACATTTAGAAAATACTGACAAGCAAGAAGTAATCTATAATTTTACTACTATTGGTAATACTTTGGAGAATATCCTTTTCTTAAATATATGTCTACATCTAATTTTGTCTCTTAGTACTATGTTGAACACATTTTTCTATTTCACTGTTCTATATTAAATGGATAAATGATATTTACTTTTGGTGTATCTTAAAACAACAGTTCCTTGTTGGATGTCTCGGTTTTCCTAATTCCTCACATAAAAACACCCTCGGTGGTTATCTTTGTTGCAGTATAATGTAGTGGTCACAGGATAGACTCTAGTTTCAAATCTTGCCCTGGGGTTCTTATTGATTGTGTGACTCTGAGCAAGTTAATTAACCTGCCTGATCTTGCTTTTGTATAGCATAAAAGGGGGCTAATAATAGTACTAGTCTTGCTGGGTTGTTAAGAGGATTAATAAATAAAGTGTTTAGAAAAGTAAAAGCATATATATTACTATTGTTAAATATTTGTGTACATTCACAATTATTTCTATAGAATTAATTCCTAGAAGTAGAATTAGTTATTTCAGCCACCTGTAACATAATAAATATTCTTTAGATATTGCTGTGAGACCCTGACACACAATGAATATTCTGTGTTAGCCAGATAGTGATGATGATGATGATGATGATGATGATGATGATGATGATGATGATGTTGATGATGATGGTGATGATGTAAGTGCTACACTAGATTTCAGGAATTTGGCAATAGAAAAGAGAATCAAAGTTTGCCCTCAGTGAAGCGTGTGCTCTTCTAATATTCAAAGGCTCTTGCAAATTCCAAGGTATCTAAATGGCCAACTTTAAAACCTAGAGTAGAATAGGTGAGGCAGGGGGAAAGAGAGGCTGAACTGACACTTAATGATCTAACTTAATGACACTTAATGAAGCTTAATGGGAACTAGAGATAGGGTGGACATACTTTATTTTGACGAAGACCTGGATTCAAGTATTTTGCCACACAAGGATTAAGTTAATGAAATGTTACATGATATTCCAGTGAACTAGTATTTTTTCTTGCATTGTTTTCACATTTCCCTCCCCTAATTTTAAACTATTTTAGTTCAAGCACACATGATCTTTGCAATTTATGAATCACACAATTCATGAGTTTCCTATTCTTTTTACTTCCACTATAGAGAATGGGCTGGTAACTATCCAGCCTTCCTCTTCCTTTGGCACTTCATGGCTCTGATCTGGCCAGACCATGGTGCTTTTGGGCAGGAGAGCCCTAGTGACTCTGGCTCCTGACATTTGAGCAGTGGTGATGAAGTCCTTTTCAGAATAGGGCGCCCTGACCAGGTCTGAAAAGAAGGGAGCACGAAGGATGGAGAAGCCAATGAGTATTTGAAATCCATAGGCTTTATCTCATTTGAACAGTTTTTTCCCCCTTTGGTGCCGGGAACCCAGGGCCTGGCACATACTGAACATATGCTCTACAACTGAGCTACACTCCTAGCCCCTTGATAGTTTTAACCTCTCATTTCACCATTACAAACATTTCTCTGCCTCTCTCTCTCTCATGGTCTGTCACTATGCTTTTATTACTAGTAATGAATCATCTAAGCACATCGCTTTCTGCTTCCTTTTTTTCTTTTGGCAACAGCTTTATAAAGATATAATTAATGTGCCATATAAACTCACCTATTTAAAACACAAAATTTAATGACTTTTAATATATTCTCAGAGTTATGCAACCACAATCAATTTTAGAATATTTTCCTCACTCACTGTGTACTTTAGCAGTCACTCTTTTCCAGTTCTTCCCCCTGCCTTCATTTTCCTTTTCCATTATAGTCCCAGGCAACGATTACTTTTTATCTTCATAGATTTGCCTATTTTAGAATCATACACTATGTAGTCTTTTGTGCTTTCCCCCTTTAACGTGGCATAATGTTTCATCCATGCTACAGCATGTCTGAGTACTTCATTCCTTTTTATTGATGAATAATGTTTCATTATTTAGATGTGGCATAATTGGCTTTTGTCTATAATAAATAAGGTTACTATAAGCATTGAGGTAGACATTTTGGTGTAAATATGTGTTTTCATTTTGGGGGGTCTATGGATAGTGATAGGATATAGCAACTCTCCATTACCTTTGGAGGTACTGCTAGACTGCTTTCCAAAGCAGCTGTACCATTTACATTTCCATCAACAGTATATGAAGATTCCAGTTTCTTCAGTTCCTCTTTAACACTTGTTAACCAAAGAGTCTCGCTAAGTTGCTAAGTTTCCCAGGCTAGCCTTGAATATCTAATCCTCATGCCCCAATCTGCCAGTACTCCAAAATTGGGTTATTTTTCTCTGTTTATTATTGAGTTGTAAGAGTTTGAATTCTTCTTTTATATAAGCCCATTTTCAGGTAGATAACTTATAAGAACATTTTCTCATTCTGTGGATTGGCTTTTTTCCTGATGGTTTCCTTTGAAGCACAAATGTTTTAAATTTGGATATCTAACTTAGCGTGTGTTCTTTTGTTTGTACTTTTGGTTTTATAGCTAAGAAACCATTACCTTATTTGAAATCATGAAGCTTTCCCTCTGTTTTCTTCTAGGAATGTTATAGCTTTAGCTCTTACACTTAGGACTTTGACTCATTTTAAGTTAATTTTTATGTATGGTGTGAGGTGGGGATCTAATTTGATTCTTTTGCATATTGATAACCAGTTGTCCCAGCATGCGTTGAAAAAGTTATTCTTTCCCAGTTTGTCTTGGCATACTTGTAAAAAAAAAATCACCTGACTATAAATGTAAGGGTTTGTTTCTAGACTCTCAATTCTATTCTGTTGATCTATATAAAATCTTTATATACTGTATATCTATACTCTCTATACCACACTCTCTATTTTGCTGGTTCTTCCTCTTTTCTGTCTTTTAAAATAAGAGACAGTATATCATTATGTTGCCCAGGTTGGCGTTGAATTTGTGATCCTTCTGCCTCAGCCTTCTGAGTAGCTCATAGTATGGGCATACACCACTGTGCCCAGCCCCCTCATCTTTTTATTCATCTCCCACCTGTAAACTTTGGACCCATGTATCTATCTATGTGTCTGCTTATGAGAAAAAGAAAAGAAATAAACTAACATTTGTTGAGTACGATGACTAGCACTATGCCTTATCTCATTTTTAATATCTCAATTTGGTGACAATTGGGGGATATTATATACTTGCTAACAAAATAAACACTATTCATTTTGATTCTAGTGCCCGAGCACCTTCCTAATATCTGTCCTGTACTTTTCCACAAATGAAAAAATGTACAGTACTGCTTTTTTCTCCTCAAGATTGTGCTTTGGATAAGTATCATAGCTTGGAAAGAACAGGATCCCCTACTCCCTCTGATTAGTTGAGTAGGCATGCTTGTGAGCCGTGCAGGCTTTGAAGCTGCCTCTTCCCATGTAAAGTACAGACAGATGTCTGCAGTATGCAGACAGGCCTCCCCATCCTCAGGGGAAGCCTACTTTGAGTTTTTGGCAACTTTCTCTTACCCATTATATTAGATTTCCTGTTGCTGGACAACGTATCCAATACCTGAGACTTAAGGGAGGAGAAATTTATTTGGGTCACAGTTTTAGAGGTTTTAGTCCATAGTTCTGGCTGCAAGGCAGACATGTCATGGTGGAAGGTGGCAGGGAAAAGCTACTTAGTTCATGATGGCCGGGAAGCAGAGCAGGGGAATAGTATGAGCAAGACAGAGGTACCATCCAGAAGCACGCCCCCAGGGACCCACCTCTTCTAGTTGGACCCCACTTCCTCTAGTTGGACCCCACCTCTTAACAGCACATTCAGATGTTAGATTATTCCACTGTTGCCTATTGTGCCTCCATGGTCCTATTACCTTTCTTATCCAGTCAAATTAACAGTTAAGCTTAGCTGTCACACCCATTTTCCTAGGTTAGAATTTCTCTGGCATTGAGATCTACTTCCCAACTGTCAGAACTGCTCTCATTTATTTGCTTAATTAAATTTGCCATCTGTATTCCTCCTTGAGTTTTCCCCATTTATTCAGGAATTATCCACCTCCCTGTGTTTGTACAAGATATCCTACTCTGACATTTGCTTGTTTACCGCTAGCACTGAAAATTTGTGTAGCCTTTCTGAATTTTCCTTGTTAACAATTTCATCATTCAAATCTTGCTTACTGAAAACATTATTGGTTACTCTTTTTTTTTTTTTGTACTGGGGATCAAACTCAGGACCTTGCACTTGCAAGGCAGACACAGTGCCACTGAGCTAAATCCCCAGCCCTATTGGTTACTCTTAAACAGCAGTGATGACTCTTCTTTCTTGGTATAATCTTTAATAGAAGTTAAAATGTCCAGGATGAGTTTATTCTTTTGAGAATACATTTTTACAATAACTTTGACCAGAGCTTAGGTGCCATTCCATTTGATCCTCATGATTTGTGTTCCAAAGAGAGCTAAGACAGGTAAGAAAACAGTGGTGAGTTTGTCCACGTTCTTGTAGCCCTCTAGGGGCAGAGTCAGTTCTGTTCTTGTTTGTACTGGTTGGTCTGATAAAGTTATCATGTAAGATCTGCTGTCAGTGCAGTGTGAGGTTCCAACCTCTTAGTTTTGTCTTTTTGTGTCCCCAAAAAACCAGAAACCCCCTCATACATATTTTAATCCACATGCTGAACATTTTCTGACCACTTTATTTGTTGGAACTAACCTATCTTCTATCTTTTCCCATTTGAAGTAATAGCCCATTATGATGCTTTATGGTACAGTGGAAAAAGCACCACACTGTATATGGAGTCAAGAGAGATGGATTCAGGATTTAGGTTCTGTGGCTCTGGGCATCTCTTCATTTCTCTGGGTTTCATAGACCAGATGATTTTTTTTTTGGTACCGGGGATTGAACTCAGGACCTCGTGCTTGCCAGGTAGGCGCTGTGCTACTGAGCTACATCTTTGGCCTGACCAGATGATATTTAAGGGCATTGGCACCTTGGGCTTTGTCATCCCTTGTGATTCTAAGTGAACCTGAACTAATCCTTTAGCAGTTGACAGTGACTTAATGTGCTTCCCCAGAGATGGCAAATACTGTATGTAGCTTCTTTTCCATTTTTCACTCATGGCAGACTTGTTAACTAGTTTCCACATCCTCACATAGAGCCCAGATGTGACCTCAGATTTCGTGAACCACCACCAGTGAACTACACTTGAAATGTGTTTGTCCTCCTTGCCTTCCTATCTCCAGTGCTTTAATCTAAAGGAGGGACTAGTGACCAGGGCACCATTTAATGGGCTCTGAGTTTAAGCTACTTACATTAAAATCCTGTTTCAACTTTCCCATGCTCCCTTTCTCCCTTTCCTTTCCCTTTTTGGTGACTTTGAGAAAGTTACCAAACTTCTCTGGGCCTCAGTTTCCTCATTTTTATATTTGGTATAATAATTAACCCTCTTTATTGGGTTGTAAATAGAATTAAATGAAACAATATGTAGACAAAAAGTTCTTAGAATGGTGCATGACACCTATAACCCATAACTGTTATTATGTTAATAATAAGAATGATAAAAAATAATAAGAATGATAAAAACTTAGAAGGCTAATAGAACAGTTCTTGGATTAACAGAGACTTGTGGCACCCTATTAATCTCTAAAGTAGACAAATATCCATTCTATCTCTAAATGTATCTTGGTCCCCTCTTATTCATTCATTTGTTCAGAAAAATTTAAGGTCTGCTATGTGCTAGGCATGAAGACAGGGGCCTAGGATACAAAGGTAAATAAGACAATTCCTTTTCCAAGTTTACAGTGTGATGGAGTGACAATCAGATGAAAAGAAAGTCACAGTATTCTAACTAATTGCAATGACAGGAGTTTGCACAGGGTCTTCAGGGAATACTATGTGTGCAGATAGAGTCTTCTCGGTGATAGTGTTAGATCTCGGTGGGAGGAGAATGCCAGAGTCTTACTTCTTACCAGTATTGCACATACAGTTTATCTTAGTCACTTTCCTCCTTGCTGGGACAAAATACCCAACTCTTACATCTTAAAGGAGAAGAGACTTATTTTGGCTCAGTTTTTAGAGTTTTCAGTCCATAGTTGGCTGACTACAAGGCAGGAAGTTATAGTGCAAGGGCCTGGGTGGAGGAAAGCTGCTCATGTTATTGCAGCCAGGAAGCAGAGAGAAAGGAGAAACCACAGAGGCAAATACACCCTTCCAGGTCACACCCCCAGTGACCTGCCTCTTTTGAATAGACCCTACTTCCTAACAGGAAGTCAGTTATGTCACCCCCATGATTCAATTACCTTTCAAAAGTGCCACCTTTGAGCACATGAGGCCTTTGGGGAACTTTTTTTTTTTTTTTTTTTTGGCACTGGGGATTGAATTCGGGTCCTTACACTTACGCAGCAAGCGGTGAAACCACTGAGCTAAATCCCCAGCCCTGGGGAACATTCTTGATCAAATCCATAATACTGCCATGAATCATTAGTAGTTGAAGAATCATTAGTAGTTGCTCTTGCTGGTGGCACACCTCAGTGGCATGCCCATGTTCCTTGGCATTCATTCTGTCATTTAACTGATAGCCCGAAGTTTTTGCCACTGTTCCCTACCCTAGCCACTGTCCTGGTGATTCTTAGTCAGAGCTGATGGAATTGTGGTGTGGAGAGGTGAAGACAAATGAAGCAGTCCTGAATTTACAGCCATAGAATAGTTGGACCTCTCCTTATGCTCTAAGAAAGTTTGAGTGGAAAGTGTATCAGGACTTGGAAGAGTCAATGAGTCTATCCCCCTGACTACATCAAGACAGAGCAAGTCTCTGTGACAGCCTTGTATAGTGATAAAATGAAATTTGGGTGGGAAATAAAAATACCTTTGTATGATGGGAATAGGTGTCCATACTGTGACCATTCTGTTCCCATCCTGTCCCCTTACAGTAAGCAGCTGTTGTGTGATGTGATGATTGTGGCAGAAGATGTGGAGATAGAAGCCCACCGTGTGGTCCTGGCAGCCTGCAGCCCTTACTTCTGTGCGATGTTCACAGGTATGGTGAGGGGCACACAGTACCCTTGGGCATGGGGCTGCCACTCCACTGAGAGAACATAAGGTGGTAGCATGATGGGAGTGAGGAGAGAGAAGGCTATCAAACCCACCATGACAGCTTTTCTGTTCTCAGCTTGGCACTGTGAAGATCTTGTTGGAACCAAAGTCTCAGCTAGGTGTAGCCCCTTCCTTGTCCACCAAGAGGGAGATAAAGGTAGAATCATATAGTCTGTTAGCGCTCAAGCTTCGCCGTGCATCATAACCCCTGGGGCAGCTTGTTAACCATGTTGATTCCTGGGAACATTGCCAGGCTTTCTGATCTCTTGTTTTGCAGATGGGGGACACTGAGGGTGGGAGAAGGAAAGGGACTTTCTCAGGTCACATCCTGAGTGAGTGGGACTTGCTTCTTGACACTTGGTCCAGTGTTGCACTGTCAGGCTCACATCTTGTTCTCTATTTCAGGAAGAGGCCATGGGGCTCTTCCTGCCTTTATAGATGTGTGGAAAGGATTTTGAGAAGTGATAGTGGGGTCTGGGGAGATGAGACATAGCAATAATCAATACCAGGTGTCCCTTTTTTCTGGGCATGCCTAGAAAAGGGATAGCCTTGTCTAACTATTTCATATAATGTTATAACTGGATTGAATTCCCTGAAACCAATGGGCTGATCTCCCCATCTCTGTTTTATCAGACAAGCACTTCTGAACCAGGTACATACAGTGCTGTGTAAATCACTGCTGACAGAAGGAGGCCATCTCAGTTTGGGAGACCCGCTGGACTGGGTCAGGTGTCCCTTCCACATGCTTGCCAAGTTCCCTGTGGCTTCTCTGAGTGTGGTAATCATTGTTCTGCATTCTGGTTTGTTTGAAATGCCCATGCCTTTCTAGCTATGTAACTAGCTACCTTTCATCCTGTAAATGTCTCCTCTCCTCTCCAGAGATGGCTCCTCTGACTACACTAACCATAGTTCCACACCAAGCCTCTATCTACCCTATAACTAGACTTTTTTTCATAACACTTATCACTATTTGATAAACATTGTAGTTTGTGATATTTTGTTTTGTTTTTACCTGTCCTCAGTAGACTATAAATCCCATGAAGGTAGGACCTTGTTGAACATGTTTGTTACTAATCCTGAGTGCCTAGCATGTTGTAGGACTCAAATATTTTTTCAATTTGTTTTATTTTTTTTGGAACCGGGGATCGAACTCAGGACCTTGCTCTTGAGAGGCAGGCAGTGGCACCACTGAGCTAAATCCCCAGTCCTTCAAGTATTTTTTTTAAATGAGTGAATGAAATGTCAAGCTCTGGGAATGTGGGAAGCATGTCTTGTCAATTTTAAATCATCAGTGCCTATCACAGAATGTGGCCAGTGAATACTGGAAGAAAGAACATGAGTTTGCTAAGGATGGTGACTGCAGAAAATTTTTGCTAAATTCACTTTAATGCTTTTCCTAATTTAGCACACAACTGGGCAAGTTATTCTTGTTGACAGAACCTTGGCACTTGTGCTGTGAGGGTCCCTTGTACATGTGTCTCCCTTGGCTCATCATGTGAAGGAGCTGATCTCAATTTGGAGTTGTACTTCTGCTTAAGTGGCCAAGCACACTTACCTTGCCTTGAGCTACAGGCCAGGAATTTCATTCACTTTGCAGCTTGGAGAACCACCTGGAGATCACTACCTGGAAATTTTGAGCCACATTCTCTTTACTGTGATCTTACTCTAATTGTTAGGGTTTTCTTTTCTTTTATTCCCAGTCCTCTATCCATCTCTATTTTTTTGTTGTTGTTAAATTCTTTTATTGGTACATTTTAGGTATACAGCGCAATTACATTTCTCATTGGGATTTCTACCTTTACATAATGCATCTTGGTTCTTATTTTTTCCCCATTCCTAGCCCTCCCTTCACCCCCTCCACACTTCCCTATATACAAAGACTTTA